CATAAATTTAACGACTAATCTGAAGAACAGCCCTTCTTGATGAGCACATCCCCAGCACTACATTAGAATTTCAGTCTAGGATATGTGAGTTCAAAGTCCCTACAGCAGGTCATGTAAAGAGAGTGGCGCTAACTCGATTCTAGCTTCCTGATCCCCTACTTAGATGCTCAGATTGGTACAAAATGTGGAAAAACTGTGGTGATTTACCAGCAAACATTCATCTTAAACACAGCATCAATAAAGCACTCTTGAAGCAGCCATGTGCTAATATCTAGAGGCAGGATGATTCCCATGGAGAACGTCTGCTACCCAGTGCTGAGTTCTATATGTTTAGGATTATGAAAGCAATCATGACCTGGTTATCATATTTGGAACCTTTCCCTGCTGAGACTGGCTGCTGGGGAAGCTGCAAATCAATTCATAATAACATTAGAAGCATCAACACCCACATGAATATTCAATGAATGAAGCCTTTTTCAGATCTGAAAACAACTTAATTCAATGAAGATCCTCTGCGAGGGATGTGAATGCATTTGATAGCTCCCAGGATGTTTTGAGATGCTGCAATACTAACACATTCCTGTTTACTTCATAGTTGCTGTGGTTGAAGAGAAGTAAATATAATCTGCTCTCTTTAGCTGTAATCTGAGAAATGGACATTGACATTGCAGCCTGAACAAAGTCGATGATGGGAGGCATCTGAAAGGTACTGGTGGAATAGAACGTGAGCACTTTCCTTGCCTTCACTGGCACAAGCAACCCAAATTCCAAACCCTCTTTTCATTCATCCACAAGTAACATTGGATCTACTTCATAAATTTAAATCTGCATCACAATCTAAACATAGAGTGACTATGGATGCCAGACCAATCTATCCTTATGACTATGCTTTCGGCCTTCTGTTGCTTAACAACAGGAAAATGTCAACCACATTCGGGTTGTCTTGATGAAAATGTTTTGTATTGCTGTATTTTAGACATTGGTCTTGGGATTAACATTATAACATGGTATCACTGGCAATCACCATTGATGCCTAAATCTTTCATAGCAATTAAATTGGTAACAGAAATTGTGACCTCTAGGTTATTTGCACCTAAGCATAGCACAAAGAATATTATTTGCACCTAAGAATAATATAAAGTAAGGCCATACACTTTTGCCGTCATGTTTCTTTGTGTAACCTTTATACCGTATATGAATTGCAGCTTCTTGGATCTTGCCCACAGTATAGTGCTGAAGGGAAATACCAGATGAAGTTGAGAAGATTTATTTTGGTAAAATAACATTTTGGTCTAATATGTAGTGAAAGCTTATTTTGTAGGCGAACACGGCAATCAATTTGCATATAGCAGTGTCCCACAGAGCCATGAAGCGAATGACCAATTTTATCTGGGAGATTGTTATAATAATAATCCTTGGATTTGATATTGCGCTTTTCATATCTTCTAGACATCTCAAAGCACTTCACAGAATAAACTGTAAAGTGAATTGACTGTATATTTGGGCGAAACGCAGCAGCCAATTGCGCACAGCAGTGTCCCACAAACAGTCGTGGATTGAGTGACCAAATTATTATTTGTTGGCCAGGTTACTGGGGAAGATACTCGCTTCGAATTGTGCCGTGGGATCTTTAACGTCCACCTGAACAGACAGACTGGATCTCAGATTATTGTCTCATCTGAAGGACGGCACCTCCAACAATGCAGCACACCCCAGCATTTCATTGCTGAGTGCCAGACTAGACCACAAGAGTTCTAAGTCCCAACTTGAGGGCTGAACCTACAACTTTCTGAACCAGAGAGGAGGTGCTATGAGCCAATTGAGCCAGGTCGACACTCTGTTGACAAACAACAATGTTTTGACAAGATATTGATTTTATAATGTATCAAGATGCTGTGAGAATTCTTCAGAACACCAGAGCCAAACCACACTGTGTGCTGATACCAGAAGCCATGGTCTATGCTGTTAATGGAAATGAACTAAAACATTTTACTGTGTTATATATTGTTAAAATAACAGGTTCTTGGATAAATAGCATGATTTAAATGTTTCAATGAGACTTGAAAGCTGCACAAGTTTGTTTAAAGAACTTGTAGCCTCTCCTGAATTGTTTAACCTAACATCATGCTGTCTGGCAGACTGTTATTTTACAGAATACTATCACTGTATCAAGTTATTTGGAATCCAGCCAAATAGAGCTTAATAGGTACTATTCTTCTGGGCACCCGTTGTTTTTTTTTGCAATATTCAGCGCGTTGTGCAATTCAATCTTGTTTTTGTGTTTTGGAGAAATGCTGACCTACCAGATGCTGCTGAGCTTAATATTCTTTATTACATTTCTCATCGGAAATGAACAGGATCTTTATCTGAGATTTGTGTTTGCCATTCATAAAGTTTGGGTTACTAATCTGCAGTGACAGCAAATATCATTCCCACATTTATAAAAAGACCTGTCAAATCCATAGAGACATTGATTATCCTTTCCTGTTGATCAGATACCAAGTCCTGCATGTGCCTTATGGTGGACGAGTGCAAGATGAAAGCATTTATGATGATCCAATCGACAATAATTCTATAAAAGGTTTGATGCCTGTGCAAAAGCATGCCTGTGCTGGCCCTCTAAAAGAGTTATTTGCCTACAAAGTACACAGTCACTACACTTTACAGTATATCAGGTGAAGCGCTTTGAGATGTTCTCCTGTTGTTAAAGGCACTGAATAAAATGTAAGGATTATATCATTATTTGGCCATTTAGCCCTACTTCCTTACAATTCCCCATGCTATTTTAAATTTAGTCTTATTAAATATTTGTTAAGTTCTGTTTTAAAAGCTATTATGAATTCTGCTTCAACCATTATTTTTGTACAACATACCATGTCGGAATAAAAGTGGTGTTTCTTTGTGAAGATAGTTAAGTTGTAAGTTAAATTGTATGTACTGGTAAAATGTCTGTTTCAGAGAGAAAAAAAATGTTTTAACTATAATTTGCACTATGCACAGTACCTTTAACACCTTGTTTAATGTTTAAAAGTTTCTTCAGGGATTTCCTTGCTGTTTCAGGCTCCTTCACATGTTACAGAACAATGAAGAATTTGCATGCTATTAATCATGAGCGAACTCTCTCTAAAGACACTTATCATGCTTCCTTTTATTAAACTTTTATACCCTTGAGCCCAATCACTGAAAACTGTATGAATTATATCAATCTTTACCTGTAGTGGTAAAAAAAACATGCAAATATACAATAATTATATGTTTATGTATTAGATGTGTAGACAAAGACATAAAAGTCATGCATTTTCTTTGCCTGTGTATTCAGGTCTTGGGAATTGGAACCTATTTCAGTGATGGTGACAATCAATCCTTACCAACTGTAACTGTACTTTACAAAGTGACTTTAACTGTGATCAGAAGATGGCTTTACAATTACCACACAAATTAAAACTTGTTGGATTGCTAGATTGAGATCGCTGCCACAAACACAAGGGGAGCCTCAGCTAATATAATTCTGAATGAGATGTGTGGGGAATAAGCATCTGTGGGGAATAATGCTCACTGCCTACTTTAGAAAAAAATAAGAGAATAGACTTGGGGCTTTTTCAATAACTAGTGATTGAAGTGATGACGTAGGTGGCATAGTAGTGTATAAAATTAGGTCCACAGATATTTGCAGTAAACAGCTGTGTTTATTGAAATTGTAGCTGTAATAATGGTACAGGGGTAAGAAAAATCTAAATTACTGGTAGGAATTTTCACTCCCATTCAATTCCACATAAATTACTGTCACTTGACAATGGCAGAGAAACGTTCCTCTGAGATAAATTTTTTCACAAATGGCATTTACAGCATCTGCACCCTACTGCTCTTGGTCGACAGAAAATGCCATTAGTGAAAATCAATTTCTAAGAAATATTTATCTCCCCATAAATGTCCATCAAATGGATAATAAGAAGGCTAATCTATTTTTTTTAAAAAAACTTCTGGTATGCCTGCATTTTATAGATAATTCCCCTTCTTCGAGAAGAGTCAAAATGAATGGCACACTGCATGGTTTTTAGATTTGAGTAGCCTGCAAGTTAAATAAAGGCTGTTCCGTTCTTTCCCTTCTCCAGTATTTGACTTTTTTCTTTCAATATCTGTTTCCCACAATTTGAAATTTGAAATGAAATTCCATGCATTTGATAAAGTACCTTTCACGTCGAGAGAACATCTCAAGGCACTTTACGGAATTTATTGTGAAGTGTAGTGACTGTATTATGTAGGCTACATAGTATGCCATTGTTTCTTTCTAAATAGAATGTTGCAGTGGTTCACATGTGCATCAGATGAAGGAATACAGCAATGTGGATCAAGAATTAAGCCATGAAATTTATCTTGCTATATGGTGCAGTGCTTTTACAGTGTCCACATATAATAGAAGTTCCCTGTTATAGACAGTGGACTAAATAAAAAGGGGGTAAAATGTATAATATACAATGTGATAATCATCACTTCACCAGAAATGTCAATCCAAACCACTATTTAATTATCAATCAGTCTTTAACGATTAACTGTGTTGGGGGTAAATACTTAATTTTGTCACAATTGTTTGGCCCAAAACAATGATATGGTCACCATTGATTTTGCCACCTCAGAGCTCAGTGTTTCAGGGCCACTGAATGCAATACTGACCCTATGTTAATTTAATGGTGGGTATATGTAGAAACCCTACCAATCTAGTTTTAATAGCTGGAGAGGGATTTTTGCAAAAATAATAGCAGTTGGAGTCTGAATCCTTAATAACCAAATAACCCAAATCCTTAATAAACAAAATTTGAGAGAATGTTTCCTCTCACACATTGAAGTGTGAAATTTAAACTTTAAAATCAGAGAATTCCAAGTTTTGACAAAGTCCAAATTGATCCAAATGGCCAGTCTGAGAAGTCTTTGAATGATCTAGGTGTCACATAAAAATGTAAACTGGTCTGGTCAAAACTGCTGAAAATGCCTATGACACTAACTTGAGTTCTTGTGAGGGTTGAGCTCTGACATGTGGTGTTTCCACTGACTGTTCAAATACTGCACCTTCTGGACCTGTGGGAGAAACATAAGCATAACTATAATTTGTGAACAATATCCTTGCGATTAAGAATAAAATAGAATTAATGTCAGGAACAACGATAATGTAGTAATAATAATCCTTGCATTTGATAACACAGCTTTAGCATATTGTTGAAATATCTCAAAGCACTCCACGGGATTTTATTGTAAAGTATGGTCACTGTATTTGTAGGCAAAGGTGGCAACCAATTCGGGTACAGCAATTTACTGCATCCGACGATAAAGTGAATGACTATTTTTTTGGAGAGGATTTTTGGCCAGGATATTGGGACAAACTCCCTTCCCTTTTTGAATAATGACATAGGATCTCAAATGTCCACCTGAACAGGCACAGACTGGTTTAACATCTCATCCAAAGGTTGTTGAATAGCAACATAAACATGTATACTAGAACTTACTGAACTCATCTGATTTGTTCATAAGGAGGCTGATATTACAATATTTATTCATGAATATAAAATCATCTATTAAAGTCTTCAGTTTTATTTCTTTGCAAAAGATTCTGCAACATTACTGAATCATCTGCCACAAATGAGTCAGACTCAAGTCTGGCATTTTGCTGTTCCAGACAGTATGATTGAATGCACTTCGATAATTTGCCAAAGTGATGAGACATAATTTACATGAAGCAGCAAATAATATTTTTCATAGCATACAGTAACTTTTCTTAAAATACAAACCAATTATTGCAGTCATTTGCGATTTGAAGTTTTCCGTATTTGTTGTCCTAAAATTAATACAATAATTATACAAATCTGGATTTAGGAAATAAGTATAAATGACCACACAAAACATGTTAATTGGAGTCTGTGAAGTATTTCTTTACAGAAAATGCCATTGCTGTTGGTGTGTGATTGAGAGGATAATGAAAGGGGAACAGCAAAATGGATAGAGTTTACTCTTATTGACTGGAGATTATTGGTTCGAATCCTGGTCCATATCGAAGTTGCCGGTCGAATGGGGATGTTAAATTGGCTCTGTCCTTCCCAGGATTAGGGAAGGAAAAATCAGATAGGGTTCCTGCTCCTTGTCCCTCTTCAGCACCTTCTACTGGTAGTTAGGGAAGAGGACAGGTCAGACCTAGAGTCAAAAAACATGTAATTGGGGAAAAAAATAAAATAAAATAATTGGACAAACAAAATTTAAGAAAAAAGATTTCTGGGAGAACTTTCATTCCAACTACACTCAAGTCTAAGCTGTTTTGGCAGTGTTAAAGTGTTGTACACAGTACACAGCTACTTAAGCATGATATTCAACCAAGACAAATACAGCAACATCAGCTCTAAAACAATTATGTATGAACTATTTGGACTTGGGGCAGTAACTGTAACTTTGTGCACTGTATCTGCAGTTAGAAACTACACAAGATTTCCATTTTAACTTTCTCCTTAAAGTGATTTTCCACAGAAAGATGTTCCTTTTGGAGAGGAGGGAAAAGAACAGGAATAGCAAATCATTCATCTTTTCAAATCTGACTGATGAAAGAAGAGCATGATTGCAAGTGAAGTAAAGAAATCTGTCTAATGAGAGAAGAGCACCTCTATGAGTGTGAGAGAAGGAATCTCATTAATCGGGGAAGAGCACGATTTCTAGGAATAGAGAAGAATGTATACAGGACAATTCATCTTCTCACTAGAATCCACAGCTTTCCACATCGTTCCCTGACCAGGATCGCTTTTTTCCACCTCTAACACATTGCCCGCCTCTGTTCGTATCTCACGGCCAATGCAGCTGAAGCCCTCATCCACTCCTTTTGTCACTTCCCCGCTGGACTATTCCAATGCCCTCCTCGCTGATCTCTTCAGATCCACTATACACAAAATTCAATAAATCCAAAACTCCATCTCCCAGATACTCAACCGTACAAAACCCCACATCCCCATCACACCAATCCTTGCCAGGTTCCACTGGCTCCCAATCACCGAATGGATCAATTTTAAGATCTTCTCACTCATTTTCAAATCCCTTTATGCCCTCGCACCTCTCTACCTATCCGATCTGCTTACCCCCCACTCCCCTAATACCTGGCTCTGCTCGGCTGGCTCTAGCCTCCTGTTTGTCCCTCGTTCCCTCTGCTCCACCATCGGTGGCTGTGCTACTACGCCCCAAAACTCTGGAACTCTCTCCCTCAATCCCTCTGCCTTGCCCCCTCCCTCCCCACCTTCAAATCCCACCTACAAACTTCATTTTTGACCGTGCTTATGGTGACCTCACCCCTCCTTCTCCCCCTGGCCTGGTGTCAGAATCCGTCACTGTATAGATGCAAGTTGTTGTTGTTGAATTTATTTTAAGTGGAGAATGTAATAAATTCACAAATAAAATAAATTGAGGCTTGATCAAAGTTCACATTCAATTATTAAGTTGAATATTTTTGAAGGAATATTGGTCAGTGTCAGCTTTTAAGCTTTTTTCCTTCTTAAGAATCATAGAATCATAGAATTGTACAGCACAAAGAGAAGCCATTCGGCCCATCGAGTCTGTGCCGGCTCTTTCAAAAGAGCAATGTAATGTCAATCCCACTCCGCAGCCCTTTCCCCATAACCCTGCAAACACGTCCTTCTCAAATACCGGTCCACCACGTTTTTAAAAGTAGTTATCAAAATGACCTCGACCACCCTTTCAGGCAATGCGTTCCAGATTCAAACAACTCGCTGCGTGAAAACATTTCTTCTCACCTCCCCTCTGCTTCTTTTAGATACTATTTTGAATCTGTGACGTCGAGTCACCGACACACCCACCAGTCGAAACAGTTTTTCCTTTTCTAATCTATCAAATCCCCACATGATTTTGAAGACCTCTATTAGGTCTCCTCGTAACCTTCTCTGCTCCAATAAGAATAATCCTAGTCTCTCCAACCTTTTCTCATAATGAAGATCCCTCATTCCTGGTACCATCCTTGTAAATCTCCTCTGCACCCTTTCCAATGCTCTAAGATCCTTCCTATAGTGTGGTACCCAGAATTGGGCCCAATATTCTAACTGAGGCCTAACCAGTGTTTTATATATGTTAATCATAACCTCCTGACTCTTGTACTCTATACCCCTATTTATAAAGCCTAGAATCCCATATGCCCTTTTTACAGCTTTATCTATCTGTCCTGCCACCTTCAAGGATTCATTTACCTGCACCCCCAGGTCGCTCTGTTCTTTCACCTCCCCTTAAGATTGTATTACCAGCCTATATTGCCTGCCCTCATTCTTTCTTCCAAAGTGCATTACCTCACATTTCTCCACATTGAAATTCATCTGCCATGTGTCTGCCCATTTTACCATTCTGTCTATGTCTTCCTGCAGTTGGCAACTATCCTTCTCACTGTTTATCACCCTACCTAACTTTCTGTCGTCCGCAAACTTCGAAATGGTACTTGCTATACCCAAGTCCAGGTCATTTATGTATATTAAGAAGAGCAGTGGTCCTCATACCGATCCCTGGGGGACGCCACTGTACACTTCCTTCCAGTCAGAAAAGCAGCCGTTCACCACAACTCTCTGCTTTCTGTCTCCCAGCCAGTTCTGGATCCATGCTGCCACTGTCCCTTTTATACCATGAGCTTCTATCTTTGTTACACATCTTTCATGTGGCACTTTCAAGGCTGGACTATGGGAACTCTCTCCTCGCTGGCCTTTCCGGCACCTCCCTCCACAAGCTGCAGGTCATTCAGAACTCTGCAGCTCGTGTACTGTCCCGCACCAGGCTTCGGGACCACATCACTCCCACCCTCGCTCGCCTCCACTGGCTCCCCATCCCCCAGAGGATCGAATTCAAGATCCTCACCCTCACCTACAAGGCCATTCACGGCCTTGATCCCTCCTACCTCTCCGACCTACTATCCCCCTACCTACCTGCCCGTACCCTCCATTCCTCTGGCTCCGGTCTGCTCCACATCCCCCGCTCCAACCGCCCTATCATTGGTGGCCGGGCCTTCAGCCTCTCAGCCCCGAGGCTCTGGAACTCTATCCCCCAGTGCCTTCGCCGCCTCCTCCCTTTCCTCCTTCAAGGCCGGTCTCAAGACCTTTCTCTTTGACCGTACCTTCAGCTCCCCTCTCGACTCTCTACCCCCTCCTCGCTCCCTCCCTTCCCTCCCCTCACCCTGACCATTTCCCCCCTCCTCGCTCCCTCCCTTCCCTCCCCTCACCCTGACCATTTCCCCCCTGCTCGGGTCCCGACCCAACTGTACAGCGCCTTGGGATGTCCTCCCGACGTGAAAGGCGCTCAATAAATGGAATCTTGTTGTTGTTGTTGTTGTTGTCAAATGCCTTTTGAAAGTCCATATAAACTACATCAACTGCACTACTTTTATCCACCCTCTCTGTTACCTCATCCAAAAATTCTATTAGATTTGTTCGACAAGATTTGCCTTTAACAAATCTGTGTTGGCTGTCCCTAATTAACCCATATTCTTCTAAGTGAAGATTTATTCTGTCCCGGATTATAGTGTCCAGGAGTTTCCCCACTACTGATGTTGGGCTGACTGGCCTGTAGTTCTCAGTTTTGTCCTTCTGTCCCTTTTTGTACAGGGGAGTCACGTTGGCCACTCTCCAGTCCTGCGGCACCATCCCTGTGTCCAACGAAGATTGAAAAAATTGTAGCCAACGCCTCCAATTATTTGTACCCTTGCCTCCTATAGTAACCTTGGCTGCATCCTGTCCGGACCGGACGACTTATCTACCTTCAGCCCAGTCAACCTTTTCAGTATTTCCTCTCTGTTTATACTTATCCTATCCATGTCCTCTACCCTCTCCTCCAATACTGTGGCATTTGGTGCATCCACCTCCTTTGTGAAGACAGATGCAAAGTACTCATTCAGTACATCAGCCATGCCCTCTGCCTTCACAATAATATTTCCCCCTTGGTCCTTAATTGGCCCCACCCTACCTTTGACTAACCTTTTTTTCTTGATATGAAAAAAAGCATTATTTTAAATGGGAAAAACATCCAATATTGCTAGGTTATTGTAAATTATTGATCACAGG